GGCTTGGCAGCAGCCTCTTTTAAAATCATTCCTCTGCTTATAATCAAGACTTGTTCCTGTCAGATTTTGATCACTTCTGCCTAGGTTAGGCACCGGGACGGGTGGGTGACAGTCACTGCTGCAGTCGCACGCTGCTCGGTGCGCTCCTGGCACTCGAAGCCAGGCTGCTTCACTGTTTCCACTGCGACTGCAAAGGCAGGAGAGGAGCTGGGAACGAATGGAGCGATGCAGAGTCGGGGAGGGAGGGGTTTGGTGGCTGGGCTGTAGTTAGTCACCGCCGACTTCCATTTCCAGATCATGAGGAAGGACTCAAGCCATTTTAGGCATTTTCTTGGACTTCTTCCTCAGCTTTTAATTGAAATACCCAGGAGGGATGGAGGAATCCAAGGGCCCATTTTGCACCAATATGGGATACTCCTACACAAGCACAGATGCACTCGCCCTTCATAGTGTAGCGTCAGACCACTGTTATTAGCCCTTGGCTTGGCTCCTTCACATGGGAACAGGAGATCTTCCACACATCTCACCTGGAGTCTTGATGTACTCCTCTGTGAACAGAGAGACACTCACCTCAGTGCAAATAATTTTTAAAGATTCTTCTTTCAGGGGCTGAATGTGTCAGGATGGATTGAATATTTTAAACAAAATACATTTAATTTCTATACCCTGAGGTATATAAATATACATATGTATTTATACATATTTATCTGTCACATATATGTGTCACATATATGAAGACACGTGAGCCAGCAAACTGCAAAATCACAAGAGGCCTCGGGCACCTCTGTTTCTTTTCAGTAGGAATTCAGATGCCTACGTCTAGCAAAGCAAATAAGAAAAAAAACACCTGCATAGCTGCCAAGACAACCGGCACATCCAGCCACAGACTTTTCACTATGCTACTCACTCTGGTGGTTTAAGGTTTGCATCTCCCCTTGCCCACCAGCGCCATCCTTTTTGCCAGAGCAGCTGTCTGGTACATCACCACCAAGAGGCGTGCCAGGAGCATGTCCAGGCAGAATTCCTTCTGTTCATTGTTGTGGGGTCCATGTTAAAACTCTTTTTTCTCTTGCTGAGACAACTGCTTTTTCTTTGTCCAGAGGAACACAGTACCCTGGTTGCCCAGGAAAGCTTCTCCTGGGGTTTGGTGCTTGGCCCTGCAGCACCACACAGAATGACCATGGCCAAACCTCTTCCTGCAGGGCCCAAACAACACCTGCACAAAACATTTACTTATCACACAAACAATGTGAAAGAACCAAACTTTCTGTCATTTTGTGATGTCAACTGTCCTCTCACACTTTGTGAAGCCGGTTTGTAAATAGCAACCAATTTGCAGTCACATAAATACTGACAAATAAGGAGTAATGTCAGCCTTGAAGTGGTTACTTTTCTGATCACTAGAAAAGCTCTCTATGTTCCTCCAAAAGTTACTTAAATGTTTCTCTAGCTCTAATAAAAGACAAACAAGTCCTTGATGCCAAAATACAGTGCCAACCACAACTTTGACTTCTCACTGGGGTCTGATGGTGTATGAAAGTTTTTTAATGGCCAGTCCAGACATGCCAAAAGTTTTAAGCTTTAATCCCAGACGGTTGCATCCTTATTGCAGTGTGTGCGCTGGACCAGGCAGCCAGCCCTCCCCTGACATTCCATTGACAGGCTGTGTCCACCTCTATGCATTTAATCTAGAATGTGCTGTGGCATCCCTCTCCCATGCCTGTCCTGAGATCAAAGGGAAGGCATTTGAGATGGCAAAAGAGGTTGGAGTAGTATCGCAAAATATCACAAATGGGCTCATAAATCAGCTCATACACCAGCCCTGCTCTGCAGAAATTATCATGCCAGGGCTTCAGACAGTGTGGGAGCACCAGGAGGAAAAGTACAGAGGGCCCATTACAGATTCTGCCTTCTTGCTGCTCTCTTGATGGCTTTTAATAGTGTAACACTAGCAGGGGCTGATGCTCCCTTCTCCAAGGCTCACAGGTCTCGTGCATGGGGCAATCAGAGGATGCAAACAGAAAGTCCAGGGCTGCCTGATGTTGGTGTCCCTTGCTAGAAAAGACCAAGAGAAAAAAAACCTCACAGGCATTGAAACATGAGAGTTCATGAAAAAATTTCTGGGAAGAGAAGTGTTAAGCCCATATAAATTAGGAAGGTAAGGAACCGAGGATTAACCCTATTGTTTTACGCAGAGTTGTCACGTTAGAATGGATTGGCTCTTAGTGTTTGTGGTTAATTATTGACTTTTATCTGGGTATAGAAGGAAAACAGTTGTGGAGGGATTGCCTTTTCTGGCATGCCAAAAAGCCAAGAAAGTACAAGATCTTCTTAGAGAAAAGGGGGGGGGGGGGGAAGAAAAGAAAAGAAACAAGACAACTAGACCTATATTTCTTGTGGAAAAAATTTCTTCCATGGCAACTGTAAAACCAGCTCAGATTGTGTTGATTAACTAAATGTATTATCCTGTGAACAACAGGGTCCCATTAGCTCTCTCAGGCCAATACCCTCTGTTCTGAAAACCTCTTGATTCAGTAAATGTCTCTGCTGCAGAGTAAATTCCTGCCTGACCCTATCAACAAATCCCTTTATTATCTTGAAGCATGAAAACTAATAAATCAGACAAAAATGTTATTTTTTTCCCTTTTTGCATTTTGATTGCAGACATCAAAGTCACATTGCAGTTCAGCATAATGTTTTGGCAAATGAAAAAGAATTTATTAAGGAATACCATGTAAAAAACAAACAGCAAAGGAAGGGAAGGTACAACAGAAATAAGTGTATTCTGTTCTTTATAAGCACATGTGTTGACAATGGATTTGTATCCGTGGGACAATTCAGGAAACAAATGAGAAGATAAGTTTTGGGTTTAAGCTCACCAGATTTCAAAGCACATTGTTTATACCTTCTGCAGTGCAGTAAAGCTTATCAAGAACTTTCCCATTGGATACCAGAGTCAAAAGAAGTAGGAGGAATGTGAATAGCATGCTTCCTCTGGGTCGTTACAGTATCTCTAATTCTTTCAGCACAGATTTCTCATGTTAGCTTGAGCTCCATCTCACAATGACCATTTCTAGCAGATCATTGTAAATATAGTGCTGACCTGACCAAGTTGTTCAGAAATTTGCCATCATTTCACTCTCTACAAGCTCAAAACATGTGGCAAATTCAAGGGCTCTTACTTAAAAATATACTTTCATTCTAGAACCTCTTGCTTGCATCCCTGTAATACTCTGGGATAAATCAAGTGCTGATGTAAATGCATTAATTGCAGTGTAATTTCATTTAGAAGATACAAGAGTACAACATTTTCATTTAACAATTCAAATGTGCTTTCTGTAAGGGGGAAATCACCTCCCTGTTACAGAGGGGAGAGCTGATTCTAGGAAGTGAAAGGCAGCAATTTGGCTAGTCATTGGTAAAGCTGGGAGAGCACGCAAGCCTCTCGCTCTATTCCACGTTTGTACTTCCAACATCAACCGGAATATGAAAACATTGTATGAAGATACATGCATCTCAGAGCACGAGATCTGGCTCTAGCTCACCAGACTGAAAGCTGTGGTATTCCTCAGCAGAGTGTACCTCTACCCCTCTCTTATAACGAGAGGTCAATTTTTGTCTTTCTCTGTTTCTTTCTTGCAAGGGGAGACTGGATGGCATGTTTGCTAAGACTATAATGTTGCATTTGCTAATGAAATAAAGTGGTCTTTTTTTGAGAACTTCTTTTAAGCAAAACCATGTGTTCCAGGGAGGAAACATTCTTCTGGTAAACAGCTGAGCCCTTAACATTTAGCAACATAACTCTGTGTTTGCAGCTATTGAACACTGTGTGACTGAGGAAGCCTGTGTTTCTGGGAAGAAGGACTGAAAGCATTTTGCTTGCTGTCAGAAAGCCAGCCCTTTCTTTTATGTATACGCTACATGCAAGAACCAGCTATTGGCTGGTTACTTCTTATGGTTTTAATAAAATTTGTCTCATATCAAGACGCTGCTGGGTTTTAATGTTGACGCCGCACTGAGCAATGTTCTCTGCTCCAGCACAGCTGGCTCTTGCTTTCCAAAAATATAGCTGCGCTCTGGCATCACTTGCAAAAATTGCAGCCTTAAATCATTTCCTCACCCCTCTGACCTGTGCAAGGAAGGACCCTCCACATGCAGATCTCCCCTCTGGTTTGGAGAAGGGGGTCGTTCCTCCTTTGCTCCCCAGGAGTGGTTCTGTGAGAGCGGAGAGCTGCAGTGGCGGAAGGTAACTGGGGAACAGGAGAAATTACCTGCCAGACACAAGCAGCAGCCCTGGGAAGCTGAGGAAAAAAGATAATACAGCTGAAAACTGCAGGCAGAAGCAGGACCAGAAGATGGGAGTGCCCCATCCCCGGCTCCTGCTCCCCACATCTGAGTCCCCCTCTTTCGGAGACGCTTGCACAGCCACAGGGCTTCAGGGCAAATCCTGCTGAAGGAGAGCAGAGAAGCTTCACTTAGTATAAGTGATTTCCAGAGAGGCACTGGTTGAGTGACTTTGAGATCACACACTGTTTCTCCATCCAGCAGCTGGAATTGAAAGACCACAGCCCTTGCTCCCTCCAAGCTGATGGAAATGATTCTTTTTCTGCCTGGTCATTTCACTGAAGCTTGGATGCTGAGCTCTGGGTGTCACATTGATCCCTGCAGTACAAGAGGATTGTATCTTGCTCCCTGTAGCACTCAAAGCAGCTGGGCATGCTTACCAATTTCAGTAAGTACCAGCTAAGGCCAAAGGAGATCCCATGATAGAAATTCAAGGCCCTGCCTTCCTCTTCTTGCTTCTTTCCTGAGCAGGTTCTCATTTTAATCAGACTTATGGTACTTCCATCCAGTTATCTCAAAGTACATAATGACTGCTGTAATTACTAGCAATAATGAGCTAATCAGTTCTTCTAGGTACTATTTTTAAGGGATAAATACTGCTATTCTTGCTGTAAGAAGTGAGAAACTGAGGCAAGGAAGAGCAGTTGTTGGGTAAATAGCTTTGGTTTACTTTTAATAGTGTAATCTTTCCTGGGTTTTATTTGTATAGCTTTCCATATTTGCTTCATAGTATGTTCTGCATTCTATTATTGCTTTCCAGTAATTGAGTCTGTTATTGTTTTGGCAGATAGCATTTAAAAACAGTTGGCTGTGTGTATGTACTAAGGTTCACTTAAGAAAACAGCAGCGTTTTTAGAAAAATTAACAGATGCTGAAGAGGTTTTCTTTTTTGTTGTTTACATATATATACATGATTTATCCTATTTTTTTTTTCCTGGGTTTTCCTTCTTTTGTCTTCCTTCTCTTTTTTAGATGACCTTCATTTTTAGGAAAAAATATGAGTAGAATTCTTTTCTATTTATTTTCTGTATACTCTAGCTTGCATTTAAGTCTCTAATATGGAAGGATAACTGAATATGGCTTTCTAATATGTAAAGAACCAAGATATTCTACCAGTTATGATGCTTGTAAGGCAGAGGCACGGTCTTACTAATATATTAGTTAATTGCTTATATCTGTAATTTGTATTCAGAAGACATATGTTGATTTGGCAGCATTAGCAAAGAGTATGTTTCCCACTGCTAAGATATGCTTTCCTGAACTTGTTTGAAGGGTAGATAGACAAGTACTCAGAGCAGAGGGGAAGCTCTGAGGACATTATTTGTTTGTCAGAATTTTCTGGAACTTAACAAAACTAACTGATACATATGACACTCTATGGAGTAGCAAGTAACTAACCAGTTATTTATCTCTCAGACTGCTCCAGCAAGCACACATGTGCTTAGTTTTACTATGGTGAGTAGTACAGTGTGATTTCAGTGGAACTATGTGCTATATAAAACTAAGCACACATGTAACTATTGGTAGGATTAAGTCTCTAGATAGGAACCAGTGTCACGAAACTCTTATTTGAAACATCTGCTTTGCTCTAAACTTGTTGTTTAGTAAGGGCCTGACATTTAGGTGTTTATGTGCACCTTGGTGACTTTATAAAGCTGGCACTAATTCCTTATTGAACGGTGGATTAAGGGCCTCTAGAAAGTCTGAAAACCTTATATAGACTTAGTTCAGTCAACTTTTAATTCTAAGGAGACTTAAAAATAAAGTTAGTCTCAGCTGTGTTTAAAAAAGTGCTTCACAAGCAAGGGAAAGTCAATCTGACAAAATAAATAAATTGAGGTAATATAAGACTTATATAACTGGAATATTTGGTGGGATTTAAGTAGCAATAAGAGGCAAAAATCCTGTGAGAACCGTAACATTGTTTCTAAGGTGACACTGTTGGTTTTAATGCTGCAAGCCCTGATAGCCTTAATTCTGAAACTTTCTGCTCTCCAGACTATTTTCCTACTGCTTGTTTGTTCTTTCAAGGCTCCCTCCTCCTCTCTTCTAAAAAATACAGATTTGCACACTACCTATGGCTCCATGAGTTCTCCAGCAGGCTAATGCATGTACAATCTTTAAGCACTTTTGCAGCTGTTTGACTGTAACCCTATTTGTATTTTCCCTTTTGTGCTGGGGGACACAAGAATCTTGCTTGAAATAAAGCCCGAACAAGGGAAGCTGAAGGGCGGGAGTATGTGAAGGAGCTGGTGGATAGCTGTTACAGGGCTGTTAACCTCTGCTCGTGCCTTCTCTCAATGTGCATTTATCCTGCTGTTTAGGCTAGATTCTTCCCAAATACCTGCTTTGGTTCTTACACATAGGATTGTGTAGAGCTCAGCCCTGAGGGTGGGCAAATATCCTGCTTTTTCCATTAGACGCATACACAGGCCTGCATCTCCCTTCCATTCCTATTTTGTGATGGTGTATGGACTGATAAGAGCCCAAACACACCAAAGGGAAAAGCCGGGATGAGGTATTTCCTCACTGACCAGTCCTTAAAGATTTGAGGAAAACTCTTGGTGGGTCAGTAATGCTCACTAAGCTCTGAAAAGGCTTAAAGGCTGTGAAGGCTTTTTGAAGGACCATGCAAATATTACCTGTCCCTACCTGCAGCCTAAGGGTCAGCCTATGCCCAGCTTCAGGTGCAGGGGCCCGGTTTCAGGACATTGCTATACCACATAATACCTCCTGCCTTCTTCCCCAGGAGGGTATGGCATTAAGTGTGGGGTTTGTGGGTTTATGGCATAAACTGGGGGTGGTGGTGGTGTGGCTTTCATTTATCTTTTATAACGCAGATGGAAACCCGCGGCAGCTCTCCCATCCCGAGTGAAGCAGTACGCAGGGTGCCTCTGGGTTTCGTGCATTCGCCGCCCGCCGGCAGCTGCGGGTCCGTATGGCCGCCGCCTGGTTGCCGGAGGATAGGGATGCTGCGCCTCACCCCCTCTTCACCCAGGCCGAGGAGAGGGGGGTTGGGAGGGGTGGGGTGTGAAGGGGGTAGGCCGCGCTGCCTCGGGGCCCGACAGACCTGCCATGTCTGTGGCGCAGCAAGGCCCAGCACCGGCGGCAGGAGCGCCCCGCCCCACGGGGAACCGACCGGGCGCCCGCACCTTTCAGAGAGGGAGGGCCGCGGAAGCCCGCTCCGTCCGCAGGACCCCCAGGCAGTGGGTACCGGGCGGTGAGGCGGCCGCCCCCCCCCCCCCCCCCCAGTCCGGCACTTTTCGGCCGACAGAAAAAGGCGGAGGACGAAGGAAGAAGACGGAGCCCCTTTTTCACTACTTAAACCCCGTTTCGCCTTAAGGGGCGGGGCCAGGGGAGTTTGCGGAAGAGCCCGGGCACACGCGGGGCGCTGATTGGAATGGCGCAGTCTCGTGACGGCGGTGGGCGGTTCCAGAAGCCTACCCCCCCCGCCGCCCGCCCGGCGGTACGCTACCCCCCCGCTTTCCATTGTGTGCGCCAGCCCCGCCGGGCCCCGCCCCGCCCCTAGGCTTGCCCCCGCCCCCTTTTCCTCTTGGCTCATTTCCGGCCGCCGCCGTTTGCTTCCCTCCGAGGACTCCGGAGAGTGAAGAAACAACAGCCGCCATTTTGTTTGTGTGTGAGCGACTTGAGGGAGGGAGCGATACCGAGAGGCCGAGCCGGACGGGGCGAGCCAGGGGGAGGGCAGCGCAGAGAGACCCAGGGGCCCGGACAGGGGACGGGGAGAGAAGCGAGGAGCCGAGACGCCCGCCCCCCCCCACCCACCCTGCCCGTCCCCGCTCTCTTCTCTCTTTTTTGCTTTCCTCTCTTCTCCTTTTCCCCGACTTCTTTCTCTTCCCCCGCTCCCGCTTCTGTCCGCTCCGCCACACACGTCACAGCAGCGGCCGCAGCCGGGCCGCCGCCGAGCGCCAGGCAGGGGCAGTAGGGAGCCTGCGCTCGGCCCCCGCGCTGCCTGCGCTGTCCCGCCCCACCCCTCGCCGTGCAGCGCCGGGGACCCCCCTCCCAGCCATTTAACTCACCCCGGGGCCAGTCCCCCGCCCTCCCGCGGCGTGGTTTTTATTCTATTTTATTATTTGAATTTTACCCTTTTTCCCCCGTTCTCGGAGGGGTCGCTGACCAACCTCTTCGCTTCCTTCCCCACCCTCGCAAAGGCGAAGAGGGAGTCCCCGCCGCACCCGGGTTTTTTCTCCCTGGCTTTCCGCGCCCTGCATAGCCCGTGGTCCGCGGGAGCGGAGACCGGGCAGCCCCCTCTCTGCCCAGCGCCAGCACTCCCAACCGTACTCGGCAGTCCGGGAACGGGGAAGGTAGGCTGAGGGGGGGGGGGAGGGGCCGGCTTCTTCCTCCTCCTCCTTCTGCCGCTGCTGTGGGATCGGCCCCTCTGCCTGCACCGAAGGGGGGGGGGGCAGCCTGCTACTGAGAGCGAGAGAAAGAGGAAGGGGAAAGAAGAGAAGAAGGGGTGGGGGGGGCAGAGAGGGTGTTGAAACCCGCCCCCCACCTTCCCATCCCGCGATCGGTGCTGCCTCCATCAGGACAACAACCCCTCCTCCTTCCCCGCACAACAAGATGTGAAGCGGAGACTCCTGGGACTTATCCTCACCCTCCTCATCTTTACAGCTCCCCTTTCTGCAGCCATTAGCGACGGGCGAGGAAGAAGCGAGTGGAGCTGGGGACCCCGCGCACGCCTTGCGCCTGTCCCTCCCGCCACCCCCCCAGCCCTGTCGCTGGCGGTGGGTTTTTTTTTGCAGGGTGGTGTTGGAGGGGGAAGGAGCTGCTGCTAGAGGACGGTGATCTTTTTTTCTTTTTTCCTCCTCCTCTCCCCTCCTTCGCCCGCCTCCTTGTGGCGATGAGGAGGAGGAGGACGGCGCCGAGGAGGAAGAGGCTGATGGCGGCGGTGAGGAGGCAGCAGGAGGAGGAGACCCCCCGAAGGATGAAGAAGATGATGGTGGCGGTGGCGAGGAAGCACCAGCAACACAACAGCCGGGATTAATTTTACAGAAGAAAAAAAATACAACAAAAACCAAACAACAAAACCAAAACCCCAACAGCGTTTTTATTATTTTTTTTTTCTTTTTCTTTTTTTTTTGGTGGGAGCTTTACCTGCTTTTCCCATCTTCGCTCAGCCCTTTCGCCTGGGGGAAGAGGACTCTGCCTCCCCCCCACCCCGCACCAGCTCCCACCTTCTCCCCGCTTCTCCGCTGCCGCCCTCCCGGAGTCCGAGGGGCAGAAAAAGGGGAACTTGGCCCCCTCCTCCGCCAGATCCTCCTTTCTCGCTTTCGGCGTTATTGTTGTTCTTCAGCTGCCTCGGGGCCCGAGAAGAAGGAGAAGGTTTTGGGGTTCACTCCTCCCCCACCCCTCCGCACCTCCCGTCTCTCTGCTCTGAGTGATTGTCTAAAAAAGAATTAAAAATGGCCGAGAATGTGGTGGAGCCGGGCCCGCCTTCAGCCAAGCGGCCTAAACTCTCCTCACCGGCGCTCTCCGTGTCCGCCAGCGACGGCACAGGTCAGTCTCGGGGGCCCTGCTCTCCCCACCTTTCGGTGCTGCAATTACTGCCCTTTTCTCCCCTCTTCTGACTAAATCTCCTCTCTCTCGCCGCTCTTCATTCTTGCCTGCCTTCGTCCTCTACGTCTGTCTGTTTCTCTCGGTTTTGCTCCATTTGAACGTATTGGCGTTTAATGGCATCGGGAGAGTGCTCGGAGGTTTCTGCCCTTCTATTTTTTCGGAAGTGATTGAAAGCAAAGCTGCTCAGTTTATTGTGCTTTTGATCAACTGCAGATAAGATGTAACAGTTTGTCATTTTCGTGTCTTTCACAGTAGTAGTTATTTACTGAGCTCCTTGCAAACCGTGTATCTTTAATGCCAGTTACAGAAAGTGCTGAGGATGATGCTTTTGTACACTTTATTGCTGAATTACATATATACATTTGTACACATGTATGTGTCTTTCTTATTTTGTGTATACAAGGGATTTTTTTTTTACAGCTCGTTTAGAAATGAGATCTACTTCTCTGCTATTTTCCATTTTTAATTCTTACCTGCAGTCTTCTTACTTGCTTCACCTTTTACAGTCCTCCTTACTTTTCCTTGCCGAAGGATATCTAAAAACTGCTTTCCTGATTCTAAGACACCATCGACTTTAAGAAAAAAAACAGCTGAAACCAAAATCCATATCCCAAGCTTGGGGTGTAAGGTTTGCTGAGGCTCTTATCAGGCTCTTATCATCTTAGAGTTAATGTTATTTCATCTTATTTGCATTAAGAATCAATATGGAGTGTAGCGCATCTCGCATTTCTTTGCTGTGAGGCCAAAATGTCTGAAATTCCCCTGTAGACTTAAGAGCTGCGAAGATACTCTGCAGTCCTGCAAAGGTCCTCGATGATGCTGTGCAGGCAAGCTAGATGTTGGGAATCTTAGGTGTCCCAATCCCTAGCCAATATAAACTGGTTGTACTGGGAGAGGGAGGGAGTAACAAAGGGCTGTTCAGCTTTTTAATGCTTTTTGAGAAGCAGATGAGTATTTGGTGTCATTTTGCAGTGAGACTACGTGGTTACCTGTCCCACAGGAGTTTCTTTGAACTCACTTTAGATCTTCTTATCCTGTGGCACATGGAGGAGGCTTCCTCCTGCCAGAGTCTGAGTTGTGGTATTTCTGAAGCCACCAGTGGTCTTGCCCATGCTGTTAACAGCTGGCAAGAAAAAGAAAGACTTGTTTCTTGTTTTGTTCGTTTTTAATGTTTCTCATTTGGCAGTGAACAGAAGGCTTTAGTAGCTGTTTTTGGTTGAGCAGTGTATGTGATTCTTCTCGGAATCATCAGGCAGATTTTGATTATTGCCTTCTCTGGTCTTCGTGAGTGACGTATTAGTTTTGAAAAAGTTTATGTGTAACTTTTAATGCATATTAGGTACAGGCAATATTATGCTGTAGCTGGAGAACGTGACTATTCCTCATATCAGCAGGTCTCTGAAGAGTGTTGGAGGTGCTGGTCTTTAGAGCTAGTTATTGGGGGTTTTGTTCTAGACTTGGAAACCAGTACTTAATTTAATAGTAACCGGTTTTAATTTGTCTTTATAGGGGTTAGCTTGCTCTGTTTAGAGAGGTGAGCTAAAAATACATGCTGTGAGAGAAGTCCTGATTTAAAGATGTATTTTAATTCAGATGAACTCACATATCTAAGTTAGGACATTTGTGATCAGATAATGTTTGGATAATCTGTGTCAGTTTAACAGGTGCAGATTTCTGCAGAGTACTTAGTTTATTTTAATAATTAGTTTACTGGACAGCTTAATGAACTTTTTGCAGTCATGCTGAAGCATCATGGGTTGTTGGACAGCTTCAGTAGTGCACAAATGGAGTAATTTGCCTGAAAGTGATGGAGATAGTCGTCACCATAGCTATGCAGAGGTTTATAGTGGTGCAAAGACTTAGATATATGCTACATAAAAACTATTAAAGGAGTCTTACTCTTCTGAGTTGGATTCTTTTTTGTTGTTGTTGATACCTGGATTTGTGACAGTTCCACTTTTTGTGTTTTTCTAACATGATATCATACTTGTTCTCTATTTGGATGAAATCAAACCTCTTAACCAGTGTGCGTTATTTGAGGGTGTTTTTTTCGTTTGCTGCTTGATAGACTGTGTTTTTTTGTCCCACTTTTGCTCTTGTGAGAAACTTCTTCAAGTTTACATTTTTAACCTATCTCCTCCTTAAGTTTGCTTTGAAATAGTGCAGGCAGCTTTCATTAAGTAATTTCCACTTACAGAATCTGTTGTATTGTCCCGACTCCTTAGTTAATTATAGAAAATAAATAACACGGTGCTTATGTACTTACTCAAGTACTGTTTTTCAAACTGTTACTCGCAGCATTGTCAGAAAGGGGGAAGAAGAAGGGTAACAAACTTGCACTGTTGATGAAACTTTTCACAGCACATACACAGTGGCATTCTCAGTGTTTCTTTTGCGGTTAACTTTTTGACTTACTTCTTAATCTGAAATACTGTTTTAGCTTGCCAGATACCTAGAAACAATGACTGACTGTAGTTACTAATGCCCAAACTTGAAAATGTTGTCTATTTATATTGAAAACTAAGGTGAATCTAACTCACATGTGTTTTCACAGTGGACCTGGATGATACCGCGCTTGGAATGTACTAAACTCGTTAAAGCTGCATTTCCCACTGTCGTTGCAGTGCTGCATCTCCTTCTGTCTTGAAAGCCTTACATGATTTGTGTGTTCCCTGCTCAGAATTTGCTTTGCCATAGAACATGCTGTGTTAATGTAGGTTTCAGTTGCTTTATTGGTGCTAATTCCTTCTTGAGGACATGAGAATAACATAGACTTACATGGAAACTGAAGTGTTTGTAGCACATTTTCTAACAAACATTTTGAAGTAATTTAGGAAGTCTTGGTGTTGTCAGTGTTGTGTAGTATATTAGTATTTTTGAATGGTCTCATTTTCCTCTTTAATGCTGTGTACTTCTAGAATAGCTTCCTGAACAGGACTCTGTGTGTGGGTTCCCTTAAACTACCAGAGGTTTTTCTACAACTTTCTCTTTTTTCCTGTTTAAATACTTGTTGCATTTGTGTGATAATAAGAATGATAATTTTATATAGATCTTATCCAGAGGCTTACTTTTCTGAGGACCAATACATCTCTACTTCGGGATCTGTACCTTTTGTTGGTGCAGTACCGGTAGTATGGGACGGGAGTTTGTTACAGTGGGTGCGCAGTTCCTCTGTGCTAGCATGGTTACATTGACAGAAGTACTTTGCCACTATGGCTCAGTTTCTTGCCTTTCCTCTACTGCTAGGAACACTGTTTCGATATGTTGCAACTACTCTTTAACAAGACTTCCTTAAACATTGTATTAGCACGCTGCTGTATGGTACTCTGTCCCTTCCCCCCATAACAGAGTAATTTGAGTGCATCCTGAAGAGTTACCTTGTTGAGTAGATGGGTAGAAGTCTTTTGTAAAGGAACATTTTTGAATGGATGCCTTAAACCAGTGATTTTTTTTTTTTTATTTGACCTTTTTATTTGTGAACCCCTCAATTTTTCTTACAGTAATGCAAGTGGGCTGAAATTGCCACATACAGATTTCTGTGTGGCTTAATCATGTTTTAAAGCCCCCTTCCACTTTTTAGAAATAACCTGATTTCTGTGAACTAGGAAAGCTTTTAGCACTCTTGGTTCAGAACTGCTGTGTTTTGTGAGGGAATAAAAATGGAGTATACTCTCTGCTGCAGTGTGGTTGTATGGTATC